ACACGACGACAAGGAGTTTTTCAACTACAGTCACGAGAAACAAATGTCATCCTACAGATGTCCAAGGTCCTAATCGCAGAAGGCCTCGGCTACAACTTACTAAGCGTTAGTCAGCTAATGGCGAAGGGGATTCACCTCGAAGCAGACAGCACCACCCAAGAATTCAAGTTGTATCACGGGAGAGGAGGGCTTTACATCGGCAAGGCGATCCTCAAGAACAACGTCTTCGTTCTTGACTTCGTTCCTGATCTCGGCACCGCCGACAGCGACGCCATCGTTAACTTCACCAACTGGACACACCCTCCAGATCTTGATCCAGACTTCAGTCTTGGCGGTTTCTGGTACTCACACACCATCCCTGAGACATAAAGGACAAGAGCGTTAGCGACAATTCAACATGCAGCAGAGACAACATCGGCAGCAGTAGAGACAACGTCGGCAGCAGCAGAGACAACGTCGGCAGCAGCAGAGACAACGTCGGCAGCAGCAGAGACAACATCGGCAGCAGCAGGAACATCAACGGGAACAGCAGGAACTTCAACACCAGTCGCTGGTCTTTCAACGGCACCACTCCTCGACGACACACCACCAACACCCGCGCAACAGCTCAACCCGACACGACGAGAAGTCCACCGAAGCGCGAACGTCACCGCCGGCTTCTACTCCAACTCCGACACATACCGACGCTCGCCCGGACACCGCGCCGACGAAAGCACCTGGCACGCAAGGATGGGACACCCAAGCAACACAGTATTAAATAATACGATAAGAGCAGGAGTACTCGACAAGGACTCACTACTACTGACTGATGGAAGAGAACTTCAACGCGTACGTGGAACGTGTTTCACCTGCCCTGAAGCTGACTTACCACATCAACCGTTCGCGTCTCACCATAACCCAAGCGCACCAGCTTACGCGCCACTCGAGAAAGTGTACAGCGACATCCTGTACAATCGCGAACCGGGGCAGAACGCGTACAATTACACCATCACGTTCATCGACGCCGCGACACGTTACGTTTGGCACCTGAATCTTCCAAGCAAGGATATGGCGTTCGAAGCGTTCGTCGCCTGGCTCCCCGTAGCAGAAAGGGAATCGGGCGTCAAACTAAAAAGCTTCCAGTCAGACGGGGGAGGAGAATACACCTCACAAAAGTTCAAGCAGTACCTGGCAGAGAGAGGAATCAAGCGGCTCATTTCCCTTCCCTACGCCCATCAACAGCAGGGTGTAGCAGAGAGGATGAACAGGACCCTCCAGAACACCATGCGGAAATTGTTACGTGGCATGCGGCTACCCTCTCACCAATGGCCAGAAGCAATGGACCACGCCGTGATGCTGCACAACTTGCTTTCTTCGTCGTCACTACCGAACAACGCATCACCGCACCTGCTGTGGACAAGAAAATTGGGCAACACAAAATTGTTGAGAGTCTTCGGCTGCATGGTACAGTACCGACCCCCATCTGCACGAGCAGGACGATTCTCTCAGCGCGCACAGTGGGGACTACACCTGGGCATCGAAAAACACTACAACGCATGGAAGATTTTCGACGTCGCGACAAAAGAAACAGTGGCAGCACGTGATGTCATTTTCTACGAGCGGCTCATACTGCAGACGTACCTTGCCAACCTGGACGAAAACCGAGACCCCACAGGTGGCTTCCGAGGAGACCGAGCCTTCGCTTCGGCAGAAAACGAAGCTGACTGGGACGAGCAGAACGTGGAAGGAGCTTCGGAAGAAGCCGGACCCCTCCCCTACTGCTCCGTCAACGTACCAATGGACGACGAAAACTCACGCGAAAGCATCAACGCCGACGCCTACTACTATTTCGCTGACAACGGTTACGTTACACCTGCACAAGTCAACACCGACGAAGCAGAACGCGTAGGACCTAATTTCGCACCTGATCCAGAAGCGGGAGACGAAGCAGTTTATCCCGAGGACACTTCACTCCCCCGCTACACACAGAGTGGACTCCAAATCCTTGGTCTCGTCACCGCAGTTCACGGCGCAGCCATTCCTAAAGAGCCTGCGACAGTTCAGCAGGCTCTGGGGGGGGAGCATAAGGAAAAATGGCGCGAAGCCATGGACAAGGAACTGAAGGCACTGGAGGAACGCAACACGTGGAAAGTAGTTCCCATCGGCGTAGTACGGAACAAGACCATTCTCACGGGAAAGTGGGTCTTCCGTGTGAAGACAAAAGCTGACGGCACCATCGACAAATTTAAGGCGCGCTGGGTCGTACGCGGTTTCGACCAAGAGCACGGACGCGACTTCACCGAAACCTTCGCTCCGGTCAGCCGCCACACCTCACTACGCATTCTCCTCGCAATCGCCGCCATGAAGAAGAAGAAGCTGCGGCAAATCGACGTCGCGAACGCGTTTCTCTACGCACCCGTTGACGCAGAAATTTTCGTGGAACTACCGCACGGTACCAACGGGGAGCCGAACCAGGTCTGTCAACTGCTGAAGTCGCTCTACGGGATTAAGCAAGCTCCGCGGCTATGGCAGCAGTATCTGCACGCCCGCCTCATCCGCATCGGCTTCAAGCAATTACCTCACGATTCAGGGGATGTACCGACTCACGAAAGGCGCAGACTACATCCTGCTAATCGTCTACGTAGACGATCTCCTCTACATCGGCTCAACTGACGGCATCACTACTTGGTTCGAAGGGGAGCTGCAGCAAGATCTCACGCTCACGGTCTCATCTACCGTCACTCAGTACATCGGGCTCAACATCCGGGAAGAGGAAGATGCGATCTACCTCAGCGCCGCGAAATACGCCGACACCATCGCCAAGCGCTTCATACTTACACCAACCGCCATCTCTACACCGTACCGCTACACGTCAGGCAACAACAAGGAAGTCCCCGTTCTACTCAAGCCCGCCGGCATACGCGACTACCAGAGAAAGCTGGGCTGCCTTCTCTTCGCAGCTGTTACCTGCCGACCAGACCTATCGTACTCTGCAAGCCAACTCGCAACCTATCTCAAGAGGCCCGAAGCGGAACACCTAGCGGAACTCGACCGCGCTCTTCACTACCTCGTTAGCACCCCAACGATCGGCCTAACCTACCACAAGAACGCAACCACACCGACTAAGTTAATCGGCTACGTCGACGCCGATCACGCTGGCGACTCCGACAACAGGCGTTCGCGCACCGGCTACGTCTACCGCCTCGAACCTATCGGACCTATCTCTTGGCAGTCGAGCAAGCAGGAATTAATCGCTCTCTCGTCAGCTGAAGCATAATATATTGCACTCTGCTCAGCCACCAAGGAAGGACTTTACCTTCGCGAGCTGCTGGAAGAAGCGAAGTTAGCTGAGTTACCCAACTTCACCCTGTTCTGCGACAACCAGTCGGCAATTCGCATCGCCAACAAGAACGGCTTCGCGAACAGAACGAAACACATTGCCCTACGCTACTTCTTCGTGAAGGACGAAATCGAGAAGGGGAGACTCGAACTGTCATACTGCCCCACGACCGAGATGGCAGCTGACTACTTGACCAAGAAGCTCGGGAAGCAGAAGTTTGAGTACTGCATGCTGCTGACTGGACAGAGCCACGTCACCAGCAGCGACACTCCAGAAGCGAAGGGGAGTGTTGGAAACAATCAGTCTTAAGCGCCTCTGTCGTGTCGAAACACCAAGACACAAGCGAAGCAAAGCATATCGAGGCACCAGCGAGTCAACCCTCGGAGGTCGAAGTAACCGCTGGAGGTTACGCGAAAGTCAAAGGTCAGCGACCTTTGACCTGACAAGTACAGTGCGACAGCACGGACACACAACTGACTCGCTACAGAGCAGTTGCCCGAGTCGTCACTGTATCGAACCGCAACAGCAACAGTAAAGTAGTTACAACCGTGTCTCTTCGTATCCCTTGTACTCTTATATAATCTTGTATCTCTTTGCTTTAATCAATCTACTTTGCCCTCACATACTAGCGCAAGGTGGTTCACAACTCTTTAATTAACGCTTCCGCTATTACAACAACTCTACCCAGAGTTCACCCCTGCAAAGATCCTAAGGGCTTTTTCAGCCCAACAGTATATGATTACGACTGGTGTCAATGAAATGAAAATAGAGCAAGTTATAACGGAATTCCTAGCTAGGCAGGGACCTCAGAAGTCGATGTTGGTTGTTAGTATGGGGACGCCGACGAGGGTCAAATTTGGGAGGCGAGTTCATCATACATTTTTTTGGGCGGTGAAAATGCATTATACTACGAAGAAACATAAAGGGCATAAATAAAAGTGCTGTACTTTGAAATATAATATCGTACCGTACCTCATTCGACCTCTAACAATCCCTTTCACATCCCCCAGCCATCGAAGAACATGTCAACATCCCACGTCGTCCAGCTGCCACGTGCCACGATGGCAGTTCAGTAATGTCGATTCTCCATTTTTCAAACCTGCCAGCCGCAATCATACATACTGGCCATACTCTGCAGCTTGTCCACCAGCCCACGTTGCGAACCGCAAGCGCGTGAGGCTGACTTGGAACACAGGTGTAACCACTCAAGAAGAACCTGGTTCACCAGAAACCCCTATATTTTAGTATTCCCTGCCCGAATCATTGGTGAGATTTTGTAACCTACTATTGAATAACCCAGTTTTTTCACCCAAAAGCACTGTCGATATGGTGATGCGTCTTTGATTGACTTGTAACCTTTTCGGGCCGTCACGCGCTGATCATTCGGGAAGGGAATCTGTTCCAGTAATTCCCCCACGACAGTTCTGCCCTCTCCAGTTGGCATTTACCCTGGCTGAGCCGAATCGCTTAATCCAGCCGCTTCGGGATTTCCATCCGTCTTGGGCGAAATTCCGCGCACCGACCCGATTTCACCTCCGCCTTGTTTGCAGCATAAAATGGCTCCCGACAATTCTCATATCATTCCTTCCCTCCACAAGAATTTACTCTTACACCATTCAGAGACACCAACACCACCTCTCCCGCTTCCCATATCTTGATCCTTGATTTCCCGCTACCAGCCATGAAGACTCTAAACTTCGCAATCTACATCACCGTGGTCTTATCACTTCTTCTGCTCGTCACTCCTTCCCCAGCAGATGCACGAACCTTAGCAACGGTTCAGGAAACCCTTGATGAGGTCGCAGCTAGGCTGCGTCAAGAGGCTGATGCTGCCTGGGCCGAGCTCGAAGCAGCGGAGGAGCTCACAATGACGCGCGCCGATGAGGAAGCCGTCGCTAACGCCACCGTTGACTCCGCGAAAACGGCCGCTCAGGCGGCGAACGCGGCGTTTGCTGCGGCGAAGGCCAACGCGGCGAGCAACAAGACCGCGGCGGAAGCGGCTAAGAAGACAGTCAACGCTCTCAAGAAAACGGTCGCGGGGATTCAGAAGAAGGCCGAAGGCAAGAAGGCGTACGAGAAAGCCCAAGACGAGCTCAAGAAGGCGGAAGAGAAGGCCGCGCAGGCCAAGACGAAGAAGGAGAAAGCGCTCGCGACAGCGGCAGCGCAGCAAAAACTCGCAGACGACGCGACCAAAGCCGCGGGAAGCGCCAAGGGAAAAGACGCGTCGAAGGCGAAGGAGAAGGCGAAGGGCGAGCAGAAGAAGGCCGATGAGATGAGGAAGAGCGCCGACGGCGCGGCGGCGGAGGAGACGGCGGCCAAGGCGGAGGCGGAAAAAGCGAGGGCGAACGCGGCGAAGACGCCGAACCCTGCGCTCACGCCGGATGAGCAGGCAGCGCTGGATAAGTACAACGCTGCGGTCGCCGCTGCGGCGAAGGCGGAGGCGGACGCCAAGACCGCGGAGGCGGAGCTGAAGGCGGCGGAAAAAGCGGTCTCTTCCGCCAAGGCGGCGCTTTATAAGGCGAAGGCGGCGCTGACCTCCGCGACGGCGCGCAGGGTGGAGGCGGACAAGATAGCGGAGATTAAGAAGGCTGCGGCGGAAGCGGCGGAAGATGCGGCGGTTGCTGCGGAGGAGAAGGCCAGGAACGCTGGCGCGCCAGGCTCGGAGGCTGCTCCAGGTTCGGAGGCGGCGCCAGGTTCGGAAGCGGCCCCAGGTTCGGAAGCTGCGGTGCTGCCGTAATAGAATGGGATATGGCGTGGATATGAGTGGTGCTTGTGACTCTGAGGCGACGTCGCTATTATGTGGCAAGCCATTATCTGTCGCAATTTTGGGCTTACGAAGTCGGTAGTTAAGAGCCATGTAGTGTGGAGTTCCTCCTTAGCATACATGCATGTAGCGGTTACAGGGTTTTTTCCCTGACACTGAGGCACATGTGATGTGATAGCTTGTATGCTGAATAAACATGGCCCCATGTCTTACCGTCTGAGATATGTTTGCTCCGACTGCACATTCCCCAACCAATCTAGAGCCAGAGTTCATGGTAAGGGTGGAAGTTATCAATTGCACTGCTGACAATCGTATGGTACATAATTTGTATGTCATACGGTATGATAAGAAGGTCTTGTACAGGATGACAAGACTGACCCAGTCGTTTGCCATCCAGGGAAAACTACACCTCGTTACTATCACAAGACTTCAGGTCACGGAAAAACCCTCTCATTATGGTCTACTATCGGCAGACACCTCTACACTGTGATTACAAATATATGATCATGTCTCAATCGAGCCTCCCGTGTCAATTCTCATAACGGGCAATTCTCATAACAAGCAGGTTCCATAACGGGCAATTCTCATAACTGGCAAGTTCCATAACGGGCAAGCGGAGATTATGCATCACACCCGGAGGAGCCCCTGCAGCAGGTACAGGGCCAGCATCCACCTGCCATCGCTGTGAAGTGAGACCATTTCTCAGGCAGGCGCCTCAAAAGGCGGTACTATGCAAGCATACGCACACACGGATCCTGTGTCACACCCGCAGCCCCTGCAGCAGGTACAGGGCCAGCATCCACCGGCCATCCCCAAACCGCCCGCCCTCCTCCCCTCGCCTCACAATCCCCTCCAGCACCTCCTCTATCCCTGCTCCCACCATCACCGCATGATTCTCCTCGTTGCTCCCCAGCGCATACAGCACTCCCAGCGCAGCACGCTGACACGCCACTGACGGCCTCCCCATCCTGTCCCCCCTGCTGCTGCTGCTGCTGCTGCTGTTGCTGACACTGGGTTTCTGCCGTAGAATCTCCACCAAAGGGAAGATTGCACCTGCCCGTGCCATAGCCTGGAGATACCCGGGGTTACCCGTAAGGGCTAGGTCAAGTAACCGCACTGCCGCTCTCTCCCTCCTCTCTGCCTGTGGTAGCAAGGCACTGGATCGAAGCAGCGGCGGCGGTGGTGGCGGGGAGAGAGCACCACCCGGGAGAGGAAGCAGCGTTGGATGGATCTCCATCCCGCTCCACACCTCCTCTCCCACCTCTCCCTCCTCTTCCTCCCCTCCCCACGCTCCTCCTCCTCCCTCCCCTTGCCCTCCACCCTCTCCTCCCCCCCCCAGGTCTTCCACCAGGTGCGGAATCAAATCAAAGGTGGTAACCGCAACTTCGGCATCAGCAGCAACGTCAGTAATCACCAATAGAGCCTCGGACACCTTATCTTTCACCTGGAGCGGTGCAGAGGACTGGAGAACGGTTTTGAGGCAGTCCACAAGGCGAGAATCTGCCAGCACGGCCCGGGCTGAGCCCCCTGCTGTGGAGGCGAGGCGGCGAGCGAGGAGAGCTGCTGCTGCCTGTGCTGCCCAGAGGTCGGCTTCCGCCTCTGCTGAGAGAGGAGAGGAGGCGGACGCAGAGGATAGTGCTCGGATGGGGTCTGGGTCTGGAAGTGGGGGAGGTGGAAGCGAAAAGGGGGGAGAAGGGAAGCGGGGGAAAGGGAGCGAGGGGGAAGTTAGGGGAGAGAAATTGAGGGAAAAGGGAGTGGTGGGGAAGGAGACAAGGAAGGGGGATGGGGGTTGGTGGAGACGATGGGAAAGGTGTTGCGGTGGGAGGGTTGAGTCAGTCAGGTGAGATTCAGGAACTGGGGGAGACAGTCAATGTGACTCTCACTCTCCTTGCACTCGCATCAAACACCCCTGACTTCCTCACAGCGCTCTTTACCCACCACTCACTCACTCACTCACTCACTCACTCACTCACTCACTCACTCCCTCACTCACTCACTCACTCAATCACTCCCTCCCTCACTCACTCACTCACTCACTCACTCACTCACTCACTCACTCACTCACTCACTCACTCACTCTCACTCACTCACTCACTCCCTCACTCACTCACTCACTCACTCACTCACTCCCTCACTTACTCACTCAAACACCCCTGTCTTGCAGTCAACCCATGCTGCCAACCCCACACTACCTCTCCTTTTCACCTCCTCGCCTGTGCTCCCTTACCCACACTACCACCCCACACACCTTTCGGTTCTGCCAGCAGCAGCACACTCTCTAAAGCAGCCACCACTCCAGCCGCCATCAGCGCAACCACATGCGCTTCCCCTCCCCCACCACCACCACTCCCAGCAGCACCAGCACCATCATCAACATCCGCATCAGCAGCAGCAGCAGCGCCACCCCAACCCTGTGCGGGTCGGTCCGCAATCACATTGCCCAGGATCTCCGCGGCAATAGCGCGCTCTCTGAGGGACCCAGTGGCGAGGAGGGCGACCAGGGGAGGCACGCCCCCTGCTGCCACAATGCTCTCACACGGCGTGCCCACCAGGGAGGAGATTTGGAGGAGGAGGGACTCTGCTGCTGCCCTCCCGTCTGCTCTCGCTGCTGGGTCGCTGGCTGCTGCTGCTGCTGCTGTTTGTGGTGGTGGTGGTGGTGGTGGTGTTGCTACTGTAGCTGCTTCTCCCGCCTTTACGCCCTCTCCGCTAGTCTGTGCGTCCTCCTCCCTTAACAGAGTTATGAACGATGGTATGGCGGATGCCTGGACGAGGGGGGGGGGATGGGAGAAAAGGGAGTAGGGAGGAGAGAAGAACGGTGGGAAGGGAGGAGGAAGGGAACAAGTGGTCATGTGGAGGCACAGGCAGGAGGACAATTGGGCTCAAAGAAACGGAAGGGAGAGAAAGTGTGTGGATTGGAGGATGGACGGGTGGACGATGGAAGATGGTAGACGGAAGGATCGACGGACGGATGGACAGACGGATGGATGAAGACGCACCATTTTGGCAGCTGCTTCTTCATCTGACACCATGCACAGGAGAGCGGAGACCACCTGGGTGACAATGAAGGGGAGGGTAGTGGGACAGAAAACCGTCAGGAGCAGGCATGATTAGGCAGGGACATGCATGGCCATTGTCGACAGCTTACTACTTGAAGCAAAGCTACCCATCACACGAAAGTGCTGACATTTGGCAGCAGGAAAGTGTTTCTCTCCCTTCCCTTCCCTCCCCACCCCTCCCCCCCCCACTCCCCTCCCTTCCCCTACCCTCCCCTCCCCTTGCCCCCACTTAATCTACCGCGGCTCTCCCATCCCCCCCAGCGGTACCTTGTCCCGCACGTCCCTGTCGTCCCCCTGTGCTGCCAGCAGCGCTACTAGCGCGCCTACCCCCCCACTGCGGATGATAGACAGGCGCACACTTGCACTGGGATGGAAGAAGGGGAGGGAGAGGGGCGGGGATGAAATGGAGGGAGGGGAGCGGAGGGGAGGGGAGAGAGGGTGAGGGGTGCGGAGGGAAGCGGAGGGGAGGGAAGCAGTGAGTATGAAAGAGCAAGAGAAGAGATGAATGAAGGAGAAACGCAGTAATCTGAGAAGTTACAATGGAGAACCAAAGGTAGTTAGCTCGAGCACTCTCACTCTCACAGTCAGAATCTTACTCTCTCACACTCAGAAACTCACTCTCTCACACTCAGAAACTCACTCTCTCACCCTCAGAAACTCACTCTCTCACACTCACAAACTCACTCTCTCACACTCAGAAACTCACTCTCTCACACTCAGAAACTCACTCTCTCACACTCAGAAACTCACTCTCTCACACTCAGAAACTCACTCTCTCACACTCAGAAACTCACTCTCTCACACTCAGAAACTCACTCTCTCACACTCAGAAACTCACTCTCTCACACTCAGAAACTCACTCTCTCACACTCAGAAATCTCACCAGGGGAAGAGCACAGACAGCAACCAACCCAGTCATCCACCCATCCACCCACCCACCCGCGCACCCACCCACCCGCGCACCCACCCACCGACCCAAACCCCCACCCCCCCACCCAACCTCACCTGACACTCAGCCTCTCAACAGTGGCAACAGCAGCAGCCCTGACAGCGGCACCGCCGGCGCCCATCCACCGCACCGCGTGCACCACGGCTCCCGCATCCCTCAACGCGCGCCTGTTGCCCTCGCCCGCTCTCGCCAGCTCTGCTGCTGCTGCCAGCGCACGCGCTGCCACCTGCTCGTTCTCGAGAGTCATGAGGAGAACGAGACGCGCCACGCCGTCCCACCGGGACATGAGCGTGTAGCTCTTGCTCGACCAGGCTGGCTCTTCCTCTGCCTGTTCCTCCCTTTTCTCCTCCTCCTCCTTCTCCCTTTCCGCCTTAGCATTCTCCCTTCCATCCTTCTCCTTCTCGTCCTTGTCCTTTTCCTCTGCATTTTTCTTCTTCTCCTTCTCCAGCAGTCCAATACGAGCCAGGAACTGCTGCCTCGTGCGTCCCTCCAGCTCCCTAATCGCCTCCTCATCCAACTCCCCCTCACCCAGCCCCACCCCACCTCTCTTTCCTTCTCCCCCCTCCCCCGACCCTCCACCATTCCCGCCCAACGCCAACCCCAATAACAGCTTCCCAGCACCAAAAGTACTCTCCACAGGCGCTCCCTTCAGCACCTCCCCAGCAGTAGCAGCAAGCCGGGGCGGTAGCGACGGCGGCACCCGAGTAACCTTCACCGTCTCCCCTTCGCTAGCCAGAGACCGATACACATCAGCTCCCACCAGCGGGACCAGACACAGGTCGTTTTCGAGGAGGCAGGAACGGAAGAACGGGTCGGGAGCGAGGGAGAGGAGGGAGGAGCGGAGGCGGCGGAGGGAGTGCCGGGGAGCCGTGCCGTTGCCAGCGTCGATCGCTGCGAGAAACGCAGCCATTCGGGGCACGGCTTGGTGGTCGATAAGAGAGGGCCAGCATGACTGGTCCTCTACCATCAAGCAGAGGGTTGATAGAATGTGCTCTAGCTCTGGATCGGAGGCGTCTGGGTCGTAGAGAGCGGTGAGGAGTGGTGGGAGGAGGTTCAAGGAGGCGAGTTTCGGGCGGAGGGAAGGGAGGGAGGCAGCAGCGGAGATGAGAGGGAGGGTTTCGGACCGGACGGGTTGGGGGAGGCGTGGGAGGGAGAGCAGTGACGCTGCTTCCTCCACTGCTCCTCCTCGCACCACTGCTTGTAGCCCCTCTGCTGATGCTGCTGCTAGTGCTGCGAGAACTCCTACTGCTGCTCTCATCACACTCTCTCGTGGAAGGCGCGGGAGCTCTGATTGCGATTCCGATTGTTGTATTTGTCGTGATGGTGACTGGGGTGACGACTGCCCTTCGGGTATAGCTCCTGCCTGTAGCAATGCCTCTAGCTCCCTGACTTGAGCTTCTGTAATACCGAAATCTGTAGCCCCTGCTTCCTCAAACCTACCTTCTTCAGAATCCTTAAAACCCCTTCTCTCCTCCTGTGTTCGGTCCTCCATCCCATCCATCCACCAAACAGAAGCAGTCGCACCAGCAGCAGCACCACCAGCAGCAGCAGAAGCGTCACCAGCAGCAGAGGCGCTGGTGTGTAAGAGATTGCCAAGCAGGGCTACGAGAGGGAGAGACGCGTGGGAGACGGAGGAGGAGGGGGAGTCAGCAGCTGCAGCAGCAGCAGCAGCAGCAGTGATGGAAGTGGGGGATGAACTTAGCATGAGAGAGAGCAGTTCAGATGCCACTTCCGGCCTCTGCTCAATTCGTTCGTATATGGCATTCACAGCATGCTCACGCTCGTGGCTCGGGTGATCCAGCCCGAGCCTCGCCACCAGGTCCGGCAGAGGCTCGGCAGAATCGTCATCTTGATAGTAGGATTGGTTATACGAAGCGAAAGGAGAGGAGAAACTGGCGGAGAAAAGAGAGGAGGAGGAGGAGGCGGAGGAGGAGGGAGGGGACGGAGAGGAGGGGAAGAGAAGCGCCCTGTCTTGTGCAGGGAGCTGGTCCAGGAACTCTGAAGAGGCTTGAGGAGGGAAGGGTGAGGGGAACTGGAAGGGCGAGGGCGTGGAGGGGTCTCCTGTGCCGGGTGGTGCATCCCATGGCTGTCAGCAGCGACGTGAGAGACATGAGAGACATGAGAGGCATGTAAGGGATAGCGATGGGGAGAAAGAAGGATATTTTGTTTTTAGTCGACTCAAAAGTCGTTTCCTGTGCCGCTGGGGGGTGAATCCCATGGCTGCGAGCAGAGACATGAGAGGGAGAAGCGGATGAAGTGAGTGTGATGGGGAGAGGCGGATGGAGAGAGGGAGAAGGGGAAAAGGGGATGGAGTGCGAGGGTGAGATGGGATGAGGGGATGGAGTGAGAGGGAGGGAATACGGGCATAACTCTCACAGTGAGAGGGAGAGAGACAAAGCACCAGTGGCAGCATAGGTGGTGAAGGCGCCATTGCACATCAGCAAAACGGCCCACAGATTATGACCCTTTCCAAGTATGGAATTCTTACCAAATTTAGTAAGACAACCCTTCTTACCAGATGCATTCCAAAACCGCCACCGAAAAAACCACCCGAAATATCCTCCCCTGCTTCCTCCGTCACATCCGCTCCTTCTCCCCCGACCCTCATCTCCCCCCCGTCCCCTGCCATCCGCTCTCCGCCCTCCTCCGCAATTCTCCGCGCATCCCCCGTCTCCGCGCCCTCCATGCCAGCCGCGTCACCTCCGCTGTCCCCCGCATCCCCCGTTGTCTCGCCCCTCCCATCTGCGCCACCACCTGCGGCGGCGGACGCGGCAACAATCACGCCGTTACTCCTGGCGGCGACGCGTCTAACGAAGACTCTGCGGCTCCCACGATTCTTTAGCAGCGGCTGCAGCGAGACGGATCCACGTGGCACGTGGCCGGCCGACGTGGCGAAAGCGCAGAGTTGGACCCGACGCGTCGCGACGAAGAGCGACGGCTGTCCGCCAAGCGAGTAACGCCGCGCAGGTACCACGGGGAGCTGCGGCGCTTCGGAGACGAATCGCGCTGGTGGCGCGACTCCAGCGCATGACTCCAACACCCGCATCGCTACGGATTCGTTACCAACACTTCGTTACAGGACTAGTAAGCTCGAGGTATTTGGAATTCCAGAGAAAAGGGTAGCGTCCAAGAGTCGAGCGCAAGTGGGGGACGCCTCTCCAGTTCCCTACCCAGGTTCTTGATATCCTGCGTGGCAGGAGGAAAGGATGCGTCACATTTATACGCTATGCAGGACGAGTCGACTGCCTGATTCCGGTGGGGAAGATTGATCCTTTCGGAACACCACAACACAACGGCCACTCCGAGTAATAATATAGGTTCGACATTCTAATAATATTTATACCGCTTTCAGAAAGTCAAATAACAGATTTGTACTTCGCTACACTACAATCTACAAACCCTATCTCATCTTATAGTCGGATCCAAGATCTACACAATACTCGGATGTATGAAGTGCACGCACGAGGTCTTCTGTGCTCAAATCCCTAAATAAGCTTGAATACCACTCCTCACCACCACCAAGCACTGGCAGATAATAAGTACTAGACTACCTGATTGTTAACCTGCAATGCCACACTGCCAAGGAAAGCAGCAAACCCAGCAGCAACAATAAACACAAGCAGAGCACACAAGAGATCGTGCCACGCTAAGCCACTCACACACAGCCAACCCACCACCCGCACCGCACCCCTCCACCATCCACACTACCTCCCACAACACAACCACATCACCCAAACCACACACACCTACACCCTCACACTCACCACCGTCCCATTCCCCCAAGCACCGGAACCTAACGAACCACCCAAACCCCCGAAACCCCGCTCAGAAATAGCTAGACTGTTGGTGAAGCAGCTCGAGATGACTCAAGATCTTAGCAGCGACGGGCTTGGTCTCATTGGAGCCGTGTTGTGTGATCTCAATGAGCGCGCCCTGGGCCTTGGTGGCGTACTCAAACTTGTACTCCTCCAGGCGAAACAGCTTCTCCAGCATCCACACTCCCTTCTCCTTGGCCCGCTCCGTGCCCTCGCTCAGCTGCTGCACCACCCGCCCAAACCCACCTGGTGCACAGAGAGAGAGAGAAAGAGAGAGAGAGAGGCAGAGGCAGGCAGGGGCAGGCAGAGGCAGGCAGTGACAGAAAGAAGGACAGGGGGAGGCCGCCAGGCAGGGCAGAAGGAAAGAGGGAGGGATCGCAGAAGAGAAGGGGAGAGGGATGAGGTCGAGGGTGGGGATGGCATGGGGAAGGGATGGGGATAGGAAGCAAAGAGGAAGCAAAGAGCTTAATGAGCTGATAGGGCCTAATCTGGGAAAAGCTCTCCTCAGAAAACCCACCCAGAAGGAAATGCCACCCAGAACAGAAGGGACAGAAGCACTCGAGAGCAGCAAATGCCCACCCACTCTCCCTCTATCACATCGCATCCTATCCAACCCTATCCCATCCCACGGCTCTCAACACAAAAGCAAACCCCAGCCTCCCAACCCAGCAAGCAGCAGCAGCAATCCTGACCAGACTGCATGAATGATCTTCACGCTGGCCTCCCACTCGCAGCCATTTGTGATAATTCTCAAAAGTGGACGCCAGCCACCAGCACGCAGCCTACAAAACCGTCACAAACCCCAGCCCCCCAACCCAACCCAGCACACTGAAGCAATAATCCTGACCAGATTCATGGATGATCTTGACGCTGGCCTCCCATCGGCACAAATCTGCCATCAGCCGTCAACGTTGATTCGACTCGAAAGTCAACATTCAAACAAACCCCACCCCACCCAACCCAACCCAACCCAACCCAACCCAACCCAACCCAGCACACTGCACCAATCCTGACCAGACTCATGGATGATCTTCACGCTGGCCTCCCATCGGCACGAGTCCGCCATGAGCGTCGACAGCGCCGTCAGAGCCGCTTCCGCAGTCAGCGGCTCCTTCTCCCCCATGGCGCCCACCAGCGGATCAATCGCCTCCGCCTCCAACAGACAGAAGGACGCGCGCACAGAGCACGTCCCCCCGTGCAGCACACACTTGGGTTCTTCCGGGGGCTTGAAGCAGCACCCGCCGGACTTGGCTTTGACTGACACGGAGAGCGTGGGGCTGGATTCCGAGAAGTTGCCCAAGCAGAGGGCTGCTCCGCGCTTGGCGCCGGCGTTGCCGGTTACCAGGAGGGTTACGAGCTGCGGGATGGCTCCTAGCTCCGCCAGCTGCTGCTGCTGCTTGATGCTGGGAAGCGGGGAAAGGGAGGGACGGGAGGGAAGGGGTTTCAGCAGTGCGAAGAGCAGGGAGTAAGGTTAATGGGAGGTGAGCGGACAAAGAGAGAATGTGTGATGGAGTGGATGGAACCAGGGCGGGTGGATGGAATGTGGAACGGGTGTGGATGGAGGGTTACATGGAGGATGCATGGAGGATGCATGGAGGATGCATGGAGGATGCATGGAGGATGCATGGAGGATGCATGGAGGATGCATGGAGGATGCATGGACCCATACTTGCTGGGGAGAGTGAAGCGCACGAGAGCGTTAGCAGCTCCCTCCAGAGCAGCGTCCTTGAGCTGTGCGTTGGTGCCCACGCCACCTCCCTTCATGCCCAGCATCGTCACCAGTGTCTGCACCACATCCGCCTGCAGGGGAGCGCGCGCCAAGGGGGAAGAAAAGCGGGAGGCGGGGGGGAGTTGTTTGGGGGAAGAGGGAGGGAGGGAGAATCCTAAGGCGCCCCAATAAACGTTCCTCTGCCTGCAAGCTTCATATTGAGAGAATTCCAGAGGAGCCTCAAGAGCTGAGCTGTGCATTGGTGCCCACCTACCAACCAGTCTGCTTCAGCTTGGCGCCACTAGGCAACAGCGCAGCGATGAGCGAGGCAGCAATCGGGCGTCTATTCTTTAGGAGGCTCAAAAACAGCCCACCCACCCACCCACCCACCTGCACGAGAGCCTGGTTGAGCTTGGCATCACTAGGCGGCAGCGCAGCAATGAGAGAAGCAGCAGCAGCGCGGTTATCAAACGAGTCTTTGTCCTGGAGCATGGCGATGATGGCCTTGAGTGCCATGGCCTGAGAAGTAGCCCCCCCCTAGCCCCCCACCCACCCACCCACCTGCACGAGAGCCTGGTTGAGCTTGGCATCACTAGGCGGCAGGGCAGCGATAAGCGAGGCAGCAGCGGCACGGTTATCAAACGAGTCCTTGTCCTGGAGCATGGCGATGATGGCCTTGAGCGCCGCCGCCTGGTTCTCCATGAGGCTGTCTGCCACGCTCTTGCCCGCCTCCGGCTCCTTTGACAGCTCCCTCAGCACTCGCGCTGCTAGGGGGCGCGTGGCTGGCCCCTGGTGGGTGGGAGGGAGGGGGGCGGGAAGGGTAAGGGTGTGGCAAGGGTCAGGGGGCAGGGAAGGAGGAAAGGGAGAGGTTCAGAAGGGGAGCAAAGAGTGGTGCGCGTGAGGGAATGGGGCAGCACGGTTATCGGGCGCGCCCTGCCCCTCCACGAGGCTGTCTGCCACGCTCTTGCCCGCCTCCGCCTCCTTTGACAGCTCCCTCAACACCCTCGCTGCTAGGGGGCGCGTCGCTGGGCCCTGGTGGGTGGGGGGGAAGCAGAGCGTAGTGCGTGTGAGACGGGCCAGGAGGGGAGGGAGAGGCCGAGCAGGAGGAGAAAGGATGAGTGGGGCAGTGGCGCCATGTGTGGAAGGAGCAAGAGCAGGAGCACGAGTGGGCCACCGTGCAGGTTACACGAGAAAGCACGAAACAACAAGCAGACGGCAGCAGCAGCAGCAACGGTTAGCACCCAGACTCCAAGCAGCAGCAGCAGCAGCAGCAGCAGCGGGGAGCAGCGGGCAGCAGCAGCAGCAGGGAGCAGCGGGCAGCAGCAGCAGCAGCAACAACAACAACAGGGAGCACTGACCCCTTCAGAGCCGTCAATGAAGGGGATGAGGACGTCCACTGCTCCTCCCACTATCATGCGGTTGCGCACTTCCATGGACTGCGGTACCGACGCCATACCCAGCAACGCCTTCAGTAGGTTCACCTGCTCACATGCACGTCAATGTGTGCACACAAATACGCATGCACATACGCACGCAAACACACACACAGATTCCAAGGTGCATAAGGATGTGGGTGAGTGGCAGGGCAGGAGGAAGCAGACATATAAAGGGACAATAACAAGGAATACAAGGATACGCACTGCCCTGCCCAGGGTGTCCATGGCCAAGGCTGCTGCCCAGGCTGTTGCACCATAGGAAGGCCCTGTGTGGTGTGTGGTACTAACACAGAAGCTCATCAAGAAAGTAAGAAAAAACGCCTAGCGCATGCACCCCGAGGCCCACCTGAATATTCGGGCCAGCGAGGTTCATAAGCGAGAGCAGCTGGAAAATCGTCTCCTCCGATTCCAAAATCGCCCCATTGGCATCGATCCTCGTCTCCGCCTGCGCACCAGCCGCCATGGAAATATTCGCCAGGATCGCCGCCGCCCCCTCCTTGAGACTCATCACCACAGAGGTCACGGAGAAGAGCAGCGTGAGCAGCGGCGGCACGACCCCCGCCCGGATGAGCTCGTTGCGGTTGGCGGCGAGCGACGAGAGGTTCTGCAGCGCGCCGAGAGCTGCGGCTTTGGCCTCGAGCTTGCCGGAGGCGATCATGGTGACGAGCGGGGGGATGGCGCCCTGCTGGACCAGAATCGCCTTGCTCTGGTCTGTCAGAGACATGCGCGAGAGGGCGCTCGCCATCACGATGCGAGTCATGTCCGAGCCTGGGGGGAGTGAAGAGGTAGGTGGACGTGGGAAGGTTAAGGGGGGCCCAAAGGTGGAAGGGAGGGGGCGAAGGTGGAGGGGAGGGGAGAACCTGGACGGGGGAAGAGAAAGAGACGTGGGGAAGGTGGGTAGGGATCTCTGCTGCAGCAGCACGGCCTTGCTGTGGTCCGTGATGGACTGTTCCAGAACCCTAAAAAGCAGCTCTAATGTGGAGGGGCATCAGTGAGAGTGCACACGCTATCACGGGGATCCCCATCATGTGCCGGCCTAGGAGGAGGGAGGGGGAGGGGGCAAGGGTGGCAAAAAGGTGGGAGGTGG